CTCGATATCTCAAAATACCGATCCGGGTAAGGATCCCTCACCCTATTTTCCGTTACGATAAATTGAGGATTAACGATGTATAATTTTATATTTTTAAAAAAAAAATTCTAAAAATAATTATAGGTTACTAGTGGAGTCAGAACCGGTTAGTTTATAATTGTCTTGATTTTCTGTTTATTTTCTTGTACTGTCATACTTACTTGATTTTCGTATAGTAAATGTTCTTAATTTATAGTTCAATGGTCTTATCAACTTATCTGGTTATTTTAGTTATATATCATCAGTATGAATGTAATTTAATTGATTTATGAATGTGATATGAGATATTGATATGCATTTGTTGGTTGTCTGTTGATAAAAATTTGTATGTGAAAAACTTACTGATTACCAAGAGAAAGGGCGGACGAGCCCGATATATAAGAAATCCTACTATAAACGTTACCTCAGTCCATATGAGTTTCAAAGTTCCTTACTAGAAAAGTTTTGGAGATATAGTTTACATTCATACCGGATGGGGTATCGAGACGATGAAATATTTAGCACTCATTACCGGATGGGGGTATGAGGACAGCTGGTCAATTGTAAAATTGGATATTGGGTTCACGAGTAGGGGGAACATCCGTATGAACTCCTAATGGTACCAGTAAGCAGGTAAGAAAAGAAAATTATTGTCTCCTGTTCTCCTATGTGTGAAAGTGAAAAGTGATATGTATATGAATTTTTGTAAATTATTTTCGGAAAACTCATTACGGTTAGTATCAAACAAACGTCTTCAAGTTTAAAGGTATTTAAATAAAGTAAGAGTTCCACTAGTTATTTTTTTTTATTTTTACCAATATTTAATTTTTCGTATCTATGATTAGTGTGATATTCTTACTGGGGTAGTGTAGCTCACCATTTCATTAACCATTTCAGATCAAGAGGACCAAATCCAGATCCTAATCAGTAAGAGGGTTGTGAGTAATTCACCACCGAGACTTCTTTTAAGTGCTAGTGAAGGTTGTCTTAAAGTATTTTTGTATTCACTCTTCTTTTCATTTCTTTAATTACTTGTTTTTTAGAAGAGACATTACCATAATCTTATTGGACATTCTAAATTATTGTATAATAAATGTAAACTCTAACCATATTAATCACTTCCGCATTTAATTTTATGAATTCATTTCCATTTAAGGTCCGAGCCTTTACAGAAATGTCATAATTGATGTGCAATTAGTATATTGGTTTTCATGTAATTCATGAAAGAGTTAAACTAATAACTTTAGAGGTATGATGAATAAGATTAGTAAGATGCTTGCTAGTTTATAAACTAAATAAGTGAAATTATTTGATAAGATAACTTTTACTAACTCAATATTGGCTATTATTCCTACTTATTATACGCAACTCACTAGATTTTAATGACAGATTTATGATAATACATTAATTGAAGCTTCCTATAAGATAAATTTTGTGGTGTTAAAGCCATATATATTAAATTAAAACATAATCTATAAAGGAGATCGAGATGTGGATTAAGTATCATATGTATCAATTAAATCAATCAAGGACTTAATTACTAAATTAGTTAAGAAAATCCTTAGACAAATAAGTCTACTTGGGTTCCCATTTTCTAGTAGAAATATACAAAAAATGAGACACTCTTTTATTTCCTTCTTATAAAAAGGTTGACCACTTAGAAACCATAATCAATACCATTTATCTCATCCATTTAGACGCTAGATGGAGCATTTATAATTAGCAAAGTGCTTCTCTTTGGTACCACAAGTGGCTAGCCCTTGAGAACTTAAGTAATAACATACAAGACAACATTGTAAAAATGGATGACAGCTTGAAGATGTTTGACATAATTAATAATAGAATTCAGACCTAACTCGTATCTTGTTTGATATTCTCTTAGCATTAAATTTAATATATATCTTGTGTGAATTCCTTCATCAAGAAATAAGCCATAAAATGTTCTCCAACATTTAAATCAGGATTACAAAATTTTTTATATTTTTTTCTATAACTTTATTGTACAAAAATCACCATTAAAACCGAGAATATCAACTAGAAAAGTAACTAGTGTGTACTCTTCATTTATATTTTTTAATAGTTTTATTGGTTAATAATAAAGTTTCATTTTTTAAGAAATTGTATTTTCTATTTATTTGCACTATTTCTACAATATGTTTAACGATATAATTTATGTTGTTAAAGATAAGGTACACAATATCATTCACTAGTTATGGTGTTAATTTTGTAAAATTTTATTAGATTAGTTGTTGAAATTTTAGGATATCGACATTAGTATTGGTAACAAGAATATCAATATTAGTCACATGATTTTTGAATTTTAATTTTAAGGATTTATTTTATAGATTTCCTATAGTGGGCTTACTCAAGTAGAGATTAAGGAAATGTTACTAATTGTCATTACCAAAAGGATCCATCATGTCATCATTTAAATAGAATCTTTGAACTGAGTGAATATCTTACATGGTAATTCAACTTCCTCATTATTGAATAATATTATTATAAAGTATCAGTAATCATTAAATGTTATTATTGATTGTAAAATTTAGTTTATTATAGTAAAATCAAACATCATTCTAATTTCTTAATTAAATGAGATGTTAATATTTATTACTATAGTTCGTCATTGATTCATCTACCAAAAGATAGTAAAATGATGAGGAAGAGGGAGTGTGACATCCTAAATACTAATTAAAACATAAAAATGCCAAATACAGAAACAGATTACGAGTGCAGAGTAGTTAATTATATACAGCGGAACAATTTATTATAAATTTCTTACAAAATATATGAGTTCTTAATTACATAGATGCTGAGGTCAGAAGTGTCAACAAAATACAAAATATGAAAATACAAAAATGGTCACTTCTATCATTATGTAAAAGGATTCATCAGAGTGCGAGACAAGTCATGCACTAAAAAAGGTTTATGGATCCATGAGATCCTCAAAGACTTCAAATGGTAGGTCAACGATCGGTTCCTCACTATTTTTCTCATCTTGAGAGGAACATGGAAATGAATGAGTTTCGTATATTTAGTAAGAAAAATAATATTTAAATAATATCATAAGATTTTTAAAGTAATCAATTATGTCATTAATACTTACTATCAAGAGTCATACGAGAGTCATTTATTAAATTATGAAAATAATTTATTTATTAAAGAAAACATCAAATCCATCATGTCATAGTCATATTAATCAAATTAATTATACCGATAATAGAGAAAATCAAATAAATCATGATATGTACAGTTTTTTGTGTTGTTGTTCGTGAAGTCATTCTGACTTTTATCTACTGAGAGCAATACGGATTTTCGGCTATCCATGTGAAATGACCAGTTCATTTATAACAACAATTTGCGCGTTATCAAACCAACAACATATTTACGACTTGCCAAATCATGACACAATCTATGACCACGGCCGTACCAACTACAATGGTCCTACATGTTAACTATGGTCACGATCGTACTTCACCAATGGTGATCTCTATAGTCATATCGCATCACCACTTTTGTCAGAGGGTATGCCATCATCTACAAAGAGCGGTCCTCTCACATCTTGTCAGACCAGATGGGAGAAGAAACAGAAAGCTCTCAAAGATAAAAAATCTAATAAAATACTTTATGAATTATGCATGTCAATATCGATACATGTTTCTCATGTCTATACGCCATTTCATGCTTAATCACTTTTCCATCGTCAATTGCATCACATATCGATATCAATATCAATTTCAAGAATTAAATCATTTAAATCACATGCAATTTAATAAGTTCATAGATGATCATGAAACATGCATTATAACGTAAAATTTATTTTGTTTAAACTTGAAATTTAACCGTGCAATCATAAATTTAAACTTCATTAATTTTATTTTAAAAATGCTCATTAGAATATGTAAAAATAAATATTAAATTTTTTACCAAAACTTCGAAGTTTTCTACACTTTTTCTTCTTCTCATCTCTCTCTCTCTTTAAGTTCTTAGATGATAGAAGAATGAAATGAAAGTGATGAGGAAATAGTGAAGTGAGGGTCTCTATTTATAGAAAATGGAGACCGTTGGATTTACGCCAAGTGGTGAAATTTAGTGAGGAGAGAGAAAATCAATAGAAAAAAAGTGATGTGACAACTGACGGATGTGACCGACGGACGACGTGACGTGACAACAACACAAAAAATGGAGGCATGCCACCCAATCGACAATGGCACGTCGCCCAAGTCGGTGGTAGCTTGTTGCCCAAGGGGGCAGAGCGCACTACTTAAGGCAGCTGCACGCTGCCCCAGTTGGTCACGCGCCTCAGGCCTAGTTTGCGCGAGCAGGACTTACAGCGTGTAGGCCTATCGCATGCATGCCTATTGCATGGATGATGTGTGCATAGGGCGAATGGAGTTGCGCCCGTCTGTGCAGGAGGGATGTCCGCGCAGACCGGGCCTTTCACCTCGTGTGGATAGGACGTGCCCACAGTGAGTCCAAAATTTAAAATTACAAAATAAAAATACGAAATACGATATTTGTTTGAAATTTAAAATTACGAAATATTTAAAGAGTTTAAGTGGTTTTAGGGCTCGAATAAATAGGAGTTCACACATATCAAATTAAACAAAAAGATTTTCGAGGTGTTACAGGGAATCTATGCAAGGGCATTCACCTCGAGGGGAGGTAGAGAGAGGAAATTGCGAAAGATAAAAAAAAAATTTGATATTATTTAATAAAATTGACAAATATAATTCTTTTAGCTTCATAATTTTTTAATGATTAACTTTTATTACTTGTTTTATGATATAATTAATAAAGTGTAATATTAAAAAAAGACTAAAGAAGAAGTGAATTAACAAGGAGAGGACGAGGCCCAAAACGACGCCGACCCAATTTCTTTTGATATTTTATATGTCATTTTTCTTCAAATTGATATTTTCCCACAAATGAGCGGCCCAACTTTTTCCAAGTTTCTCTTTCCAACCCCCTGAAACCAATTTTCCAATTTCTTTTTCCTAAATATTAATTTATATTTTAGGCTTATACTATTCAAACCGCCTACCCAAACAAAACGAGAACTGGTAAGGTGCGTTCGCGTACACGGCGACGCTACTTGGAGCTCGATATTTTTCGCTTCTCTCAGGTTCGTGCATTTACGTAAAACCACCAATAGGACCACGCCACGTTGGGGGGCGAAATGATCATTGTCAAAAACGACGCCGTTTAGGTATCACGGGGTGTACGGTTGATGTCGTTTAGATCAGACGGGTTAAACAATCAAACGATTTTAATGGAGTGGTAGATAGGTGACAGTCTATGAGCGTTGATGGAGACTACCGCATAGGATAGAGAGGGAGATTAAATGGGTGAGAACGGGATATGAAGGGAGATTGGAGAAGAAGGGTAACACAACACACCATCTTCCCCTATCTTTTTGCTTTGGCCGACCATTAAAGAGGGAGTTTCATCCTTTCTCTTACTCCCTCTCTCTCCTTTTGCTATACAAACAACCACAGGTCCTTCTTGGATTTTCTCTTCACTCTGTTTTCTTTCTTTTTTTTTCTTTTCCATTTCAATAAAATTTCCCATTTTCAATTCAATTTAACTCGGGGTTTTATATTGATTAAGGTCAGGGTTTTTTTTTTTTTTTTTTTGGAATGATAATTGTTCCTTCAATTTTCTTCGAGTATTTGTTTCATTTCCGGGAGTTTCTCAGCTTGAAATTCTGGTGTTGAAATTAGGGTTCTTCACTGATTTCTCCACTGTTTGTGTTCGGTCAATACTATAAATTAGAACCCCTTTCAATCAGGGCTTCGAAACGGGATTGTCAACGTGCTCTCTTTTTATTTCAGTTTATGTTGGTTCTTACCATTTGATCGTTTTCTCTAAATTGATTTGAATGCTTTTGCTTTTACGTTGTTGAATACTTGGTGTCATCTTAGTGGATGAATGATAGATAGTGATTGAGCTATCTCTTCAATGAGATATATATCGCATTAATTTTAACATTTTCCGAGTAGCGATCTTCCTTCCATCTCTCAGTTACTGGATTTATACGTTCTATCATTTCATCATTTTTCTAGCTGCCCACGTATTAGTGGTTCGTATATGCTTATAGAAAGCATTTTTGATGTGTACGGAGATAATTCTGATCATAAATGCTTCTTGTTACTTAAGATTGATTCTATTAAGTGAAAGCATTTAGCACGCATGAATTCCTGCTAGTCGTTTTTACAAGGAATAAAGCTTAAAAGATATTTTTAAGCATGTCAACTTTGAAGAATGTCGACTTTTTAAGTGTCTGCTTCCTAATAACCCATTGGGGTTGTGACTTTCTTGGTGATAGAGTCTTCACAAACATTATAGTTACTTACACCTGTGGCAGAAAACAGCTTCTGTAAGAGAAGAACTTATATTTCTAGTTGAATAATGATATCTTGTTCACTTCACGATAATTATACATCTTCATTTGCTATGAAGTTTGCACTAGTAGTTGTTTTGTCTTGACATTTATGCGGAACCAGTTCTCTATTGAGGATGCTTTGCTTTTGATTTTCAAACTGAAGTGTCCATTCTCTTTAACTGCTTCCTTTGTCTTTTAACTAGTTCTGTTACAAACTGCAGATTGTGCTGTTGCATCATGGCTCGGGTCTTAGTTCAATCCACTGTGCCTTTCTTTAATTGGTGCTCGGAAAAATGGCTCATCTCAAGGAGCTGGCAAATCGAAAAGGTCAATAAAGATGATGTGCAGCTTACAAGCACCTGGATTGAGAATGAGAAGCTTCTCAGGGTTGCGAGGCTCTAATTGTTTAGACTCTATGGTTAGATCTGGTCAAGATTTCCACTCCAAGGTGGCACTAACAATATCTTCATGGCGAGGAAAGGCCAGCCGATGTGTCCCGAAAGCAATGTTTGAGCGCTTCACAGAAAAAGCAATTAAAGTCATTATGCTTGCTCAAGAGGAAGCTAGACGCCTAGGCCACAATTTTGTGGGCACTGAGCAGATTCTCTTGGGCCTTATTGGTGAAGGCACTGGTATTGCTGCAAAGGTTCTTAAATCCATGGGAATCAATCTTAAAGATGCGCGAGTGGAAGTAGAGAAGATAATTGGAAGGGGCAGTGGATTTGTAGCTGTGGAGATTCCATTCACTCCTCGTGCAAAGCGTGTTCTAGAGCTCTCTCTGGAGGAAGCTCGTCAACTTGGTAGGATTGGTTTAATTTTACTCCTCAAGTGTCTCCTATGCTACCATTTTTTATCTAGATTTTTTTTTGGAGATGGGGTTGTCAAGGAACTAGTGTTTGTACTGTATCTGGCTTTTTTCTCAAACCGAATTTAAACTTTTGAGTCAGTGAAATAGGGCAGTGAACTGGAAACAAAGTGGATCTAACTGCTATCTCATGAATTAGCCATTTTGATGCTTAAATGTCATGGCATACTCTGATATTCTTGATCAAAGTTATGCTAAATGCATTTTATGCTAAGAGGATGCCTAATGAATTCCTCATTTTGTGCAAATTTCAGGCCATAACTACATTGGATCTGAGCACCTACTACTTGGGCTGCTTCGGGAAGGTGAAGGTGTAGCAGCCCGTGTTCTTGAGAATTTGGGTGCTGATCCAAGTAATATCCGGACACAGGTAATGGACTCATCCTTGGTTTCTGTATCCGCTAGATTTTACTTGCTTCTAAAATTCCCTACCTTCTGTACTCTTAATTAGTAATACTTAATTCTCAACTGAATGCTGTAGGTTATACGTATGGTTGGTGAAAACAATGAAGTTCCTGCTAATATTGGAGGAGGATCTAGTAGCAACAAGATGCCAACACTGGAGGAGTATGGAACCAACTTGACAAAGCTTGCGGAGGAGGTAATAATTTTTTAACTTTGTTTAAGAGATATTTAATATGTAAATTTAGATATATTGAAGATTTTTTGGAAGCTGATTTCCTCCTCTTTCAGGGCAAATTGGATCCAGTCGTTGGAAGGCAGCAACAAATAGAAAGAGTCGTCCAAATTTTAGGTCGGAGAACTAAGAACAATCCATGTCTTATTGGGGAACCTGGTGTTGGAAAAACAGCAATTGCAGAAGGTCTTGCTCAACGTATTGCTAGTGGTGATGTTCCTGAGACAATTGAGGGGAAGAAGGTAGTTTGATGTTTCTTCTACTTGTTGAATATAGAAGCTTTCAAAACATATCTATCATTTTTTTTTCGAAATAAAAGTAGTATCGTATGATTCATTCACATGCACCAAGCGGGTGCAAACTCATGTAAAATGTTATTTATATATCAAGCAAAATGTTAATAAGGTTCCCAAACTCCTCAAATGAATGGAGAGGATGACCCATAATAAAAAAACCTAGGGTCTGGAACTATTTATCTTTTACCCTCAAAATCATCTTTCACGCCCTCGAAAGCTCGTTGTTTCTTTCTTTCCACACTGCCCAAAAAAGCAGCAAGGAAATGAAACTGACATGTTTTTTCCGCACCACTAATGCCTTTTCCACGCTCAAATTTCTTCCCTCATGAAGCCAGCTAATCACCCAATTGACACCCAAGAGTCCATAAGTAAAGATCCATAATTCATATACAAAAGGACATCATAGTTGGATATGATTAGACGACTCACCTCCCTTTGTATAAGACACCATTCACCAAATTCTGCTGCTCTAATCGTCCTG